GTGTGTGTGAGGCCCTGCAGGCTGGTCACGCCGCCTGCCCGCCGTGATAAGGGATAGGATCAATAAGAGGAAAAGAAAGGCAGTACACTTCGGCCGACTCCGAACAGGCCGCTGACTCCGTCGCCCTCGCGGCGGGCTTCCCGTCGGAGTGCGAGAGAGATGGAGACAGCGGCAGTGAGGGGCGGCGGCGGTAGGGGATTACGGAGTCAGGCGACGCGCCTCAGCTCGACGCGGGATCGGCAAACTCATACACGCGGCGACGCGGCGTAATAGGCCGGCAAACAGGCCAACAACATCAACAAGACAAATACGGCCGCCAGCCATCCTCGGGCCTTGCCGGCCGCGCTAATTTCAGCCGAAAATACAAACAAAAACAAAAGCAACGCGGAGATCGTCCATCACCCGGAGTGCCCGGCCCGGGCAGCAGCCCGCCGACACGCACACACAGCGAGAGACAGATTCGCTGTTGAGGGATCTAATTGTTGCCGGCTGGCTGCTGTGCTGTGATTGGCCAAAGCTGCAGTCTGGCCGGCAGTCTGGCCGGCCATTAGCTCTGCCTCGATGAGGTGGCCAATCACACGGAGAGGATCAGCACCGCGATCAGTACCGCCAGAGCCGCACGAGCGGCACGGGCAGCACGCCGCCGCCGCCGCCGCCATCCCGTTCAGGGAGGTTGGCTCTGTGTGTGCGTGTGTGTGTGTGTGTGCGCGCGCGCCTTTCTTTTCATTAGCCTTGCAAGAAATGGTGTATATTCCGCAGCAAGTTTCCGTGGAGCCTCTGTGTGTGTGTGTGCGGCACTCGCTCACACCGCAGCGGGGTGGGTGGCTCTGGGTGGCTCCGCCGCGCCGCCGCTCCGCCGTTCAAGGCCCCTTTTGCGCCGTCCGACGCGCCGCGCGCCGCGCAGTCTACCCCAGTGTACCGCGCAAGGCTGCGTCGCCCCGTCTCTGTCGCACTCGCGGGCCGGCCCGGCGGGGTGCGAGAGAGACGGCGCGGCTGGTGCGTCCCGACTCCCCGGGCCCTCGCTCGCGCCGCACGTCACCGGCAGGTGGAGGAGGAGAGGGAAAGTTAAAACAGAGAGAGCACCTTCTCAGCAGAAAGATGAGAGCAAGAGGCCCAGGGCCGGGAGGGCGGTTTCAAGAGCGAAGCGGCGAGGCTGCGATTGGCAAGAGGGAGGGCGGGCAGCCACTTGCACGCCGAGGCCGCTGTGGAGGCCCTGGAGGCCCTGGAGGCCGAGACAAAGGCCTGCGAGTGCCTAGGCCGAGGCCTAGTCCGAGGCCTAGTCCGAGGCCTAGTCCGAGGCCTAGTCCGAGGCCTAGTCCGAGGCCTAGTCCGAGGCCTAGTCCGAGGCCTAGTCCGAGGCCTAGTCCGAGGCCTAGTCCGAGGCCTAGTCCGAGGCCTAGTCCGAGGCCTAGTCCGAGGCCTAGTCCGAGGCCTAGTCCGAGGCCTAGTCCGAGGCCTAGTCCGAGGCCTAGTCCGAGGCCTAGTCCGAGGCCTAGTCCGAGGCCTAGTCCGAGGCCTAGTCCGAGGCCTAGTCCGAGGCCTAGTCCGAGGCCTAGTCCGAGGCCTAGTCCGAGGCCTGGCCGGCCGCGCGACACCTTTGCAATAACGCTGCAAAACGAAATGACGCCGTAACCGCGCCCAAATAATTGGCCGTTTACGAGGGCGCCGTAAAAAGGGCGTAAAAAGTAAAAAATCGGGAAAGGGCACAGAAAGCAGCAACAAGCGAATAAGATTTGCGGCGCGCAGCGCGGGGGGCTTTACGGCACTGTAAAAGCGATATTGTAACAATTGTCATTTACGGCTGCCGCCCTTCGGCCTTCATTTGCAGTGCAGGCACTGGCATCGCGGTCGCGTGGCTGCCTGGCTCGCTTCGCACCGGGTTTGCTGTTGCTTTTCGGAGTGTGGCCGCCGCCCGGGCCACCCGGGCCGCCAGGGAGCGCAGCGAGGTGCACACGCTACAACGCCTCGCGCCCTCGCCCCCCGCTACACCCTAAAAACGGCAAGCACTGCGAGTCGCCCCGCAGTAGCCGCCTATACAAAATTCATTTTGATTTACGTCGGCTGGGCGTCTCAGCCGCGCCGCTCATCCAGGCGCGTCGGCTGCCCGGTGCACTCGAGCTCGCACGGACCGGATTCATTTCGGGCGGGCCTCGGCCACGGCCGCCACCCGCACGGCGTTAATAACAAAAAGTAGAGCAGCAATAATCAGATGATACGACAACTGCTGTTGCGGCGCCAGCCACCGGGAAAAAAAGATATCAAAAAGAGAGGAAAAGAAGTAATTTCTGGGCGCTGTAAATCCTCCTCGCCCCGGCTGACCCGGGCAGCCGTTGGCAAATATCTCAAAGGAAATAAACGGGAAGATGGTTGCGTTTTGGTGTCCAGTGGGGAGCAGTGTCTTGCCTGCCGGGCCCTACCCGGCCGGGCTGTTGTTGCGGAACAATCCGGCGGTGGAGAGCAATAAAAAGAGGTCCGCGGCACGCCAGGGCGCCAGGGCTCAGGGGGCGGCGAGGTGCCACACCGCTTGCTTGCAAACACGTCGCCATTTCGTGGGGATCGCCCAGCATCGCTTTGACCGAAAAGGAAAAAGTAAAAGTGATTCTTTTTTTTTGTTCCCCGCTGCCGGCGGCGTGTGGTTCTCTCTCCGACTTGCCGCACCCCGCGCCGGTTAGGTGTGGTCAGGCAGTGGGTGGGGCGGGGTGGGGCGGGGCGCCAGCGGGGCATCCGATTAGGGTGTGGGGTCCCTGGCCGCTGCCGTGCTGGTTTTTGCGTTGCCGTGACTGCTTGGGAACGCCTAATGACGACTGTCGGGGATCCCCCGATAAGAATGCCCCGGGGGGGGGGGGGGGGGCGTCCGAGGCGGGGGGTGGCGGCAGCGCCCTGTGAAGGGGTAGGCCCGAGGCCACGCGGACGCCCCCTAAAGTTGCAGGGCGGCAAGCGCCTGGCGGCGAGGGTCAGAGACCGACAGAGGCCGTCAGGGACCCCCTCCACTGGCATTCGGAATGGATGTGCGCCACGCTAGGCCACGCCACGCCGTGTTCTTTGCGCGCATCAATCCGACTGCCAGCAACAACAACAACAACTGCACACGCTACACGATGACACGAAATGCGCACTGCTCGCTCTAAGTTGGCCGGGCCGGGCGGCGGGGCGGACGGCTCGGGCCGGGCCACTGGGGCCTGCACTGCGAGGCGTGGCGGCCGGCCGGGCCAGAAATCACGTAACGACGCACTGCGAGGAAACCGTGTTCATTGTTTTCATTACCAATCCGCTGAGGCTGTCGGACCGTGCTTAGCGAGGAGTGCGCTTTCTCAACAGCGGCAGAACCTGTGACCTTTTGCTTCGCAACGAGAGGAGTCAAGCCCGCCGGGGAGTTGGCACGTGCAAACTTTGCGCTCAGCCAGGCGGAGAGCCCGCGACAGGGAGTCTGCGCGCGAGTCTGTGTCACTCTGACTGATTTCGAGAGTAGAATGAAAGCTGCTTTTCCCCCTCCTTTTTCACGTGAGTCGTCGAGTGAGGCGATACGACGTGCGCGAGGGGGGAGGGATTCGGACGCAAAGCGAGCCAGACTGAAGTCGTTTTCATCACTTAACGCGTTGCACCCCCCGCCCCCTCTTGTCTCTTTGAATGGTGTCGCTAATTTTCAATTTCGGCGCCCGGAGTCGCTCCGGCCCGCAGCCGCCGGCTCGCATCGAGGGGCACTGACTACGCACTCGAGGTTTTCCTCGATGCAGCACTTGGAGGATTAAATGTAGAGCCGAAATGCGATGACGACGCGGCAGGTGAAGCGCGACAGTGTCGCGGCAGGTGGAGCGCGACAGTGTCGCGGCAGGTGAAGCGCGACAGTGTCGCGGCAGGGGAAGCGCGACAGTGTCGCGGCAGGGGAAGCGCGACAGTGTCGCGGCAGGCGAAGCGCGACAGTGTCGCGGCAGGGGAAGCGCGACAGTGTCGCGGCAGGGGAAGCGCGACAGTGTCGCGGCAGGGGAAGCGCGACAGTGTCGCGGCAGGGGAAGCGCGACAGTGTCGCGGCAGGGGAAGCGCGACAGTGTCGCGGCAGGTGAAGCGCGACAGTGTCGCGGCAGGTGAAGCGCGACAGTGTCGCGCCTGGCAATGCGCGACGGCGTCGGGGCAGGTGAAGCGCGACAGCGTCGCGGCAGGACGGTGTCCTTCTAATTACTCGCCTTTGAATGTAGTGAAAGTGGATAAAAAGGCGACAACTTTTTTGCATCTTGTGAAAAAGCGGACGCAGTATATAGGAAGGGGAGATGGGAGAGCAGCGAACGAACACTCCGGTCGGAGAACACGACAAAACGAAGAGCAAGTGGATCGGGGGGATCGTTTTATAGTGGTATTTCCGCTTGCTCGTCGCGGACTGTGCGATGCGTGGTTGGTCCATCGGGGCATCGGCGGGGACGTTGACAACTCATCCAGGCCCCAAGTTTGTCCCGGCGAACGCGTATCCTCGAAATGCGGTCCTGCAAAATAGTGTAGTTGCGGGTTGGCAGTGTGGCGTACGCGGCGTTCAGGCCGGAGATGGAGTACGCCAAGTACAAATGCAACCCCCCCCCCCTTCTTCCACTCCAGCAAGTCTCGCCAGTGTAACACAGCAGCGGACGCTGCGAGACATTCGCTTGACGGAGTAAGTCTCATTTGTCATCGCAGTTGTCTTGGAGCGCCACTCGGTGGACTTGCAGCGGGCCTCCAGCCTCCAGCAGGCCTCCAGCGGGCCCCTGGCTCCCAGCGAGCTTTCGCGGGGCCTGGGGGACCTGGAGGCGGCAGCATCCGGGACGGTCCGGGACGACTAGACAGCGGTTGTCCTGTTTGAATGTGTGGTTCAGGGAGAGCCGTGAGAAATCGTCTGTTTTGGTCGTGGATCGAGAAAACCTCCGAAACGCGTCCGGCAGGCAGCCTGTCATTCCGAGCGTGCAGGCAACATTGGCAGTGACCCTGCCCCCCTCCAGCCCGTTCCTGGACTCACAGTGCCCCTCCTTGTGCCGCAGGATGATGCGCTGTGCCACCGCCGCCGCCTGAGGACGAGGACGCCATGTGGGTCACCATGTGGGCAGTGCTGTCCCTCGCCGTGCTGGCCGTGGCCGCGGCCCACGCAGGTAAGCAGCAACAACAACAACTAAAACGGGAACAATAAACTTGTGACAACGAGGGTAGGTGGGCGCCGCCCCTCGTCACTTGGAGCCACGCCACCGTTAGCGCCGCGACTGCGAGCACTTTCCCCAGCCATCCATTCCCTTTGGGCGGCGGTGCATCACCCAACGATATCCATAGCAGCCCCTTGCCCCCCCCCCCTCCTCCCTTTCTTCTCTTTCAGGGGGTGCTTGAGGACGAGCGTCCCCCTCGCCTTGCTCCTTTGTGCTCCTGTCGGCACGACGGCACGCCAAGCGGCACGCCGAGCGGCAGAGACACTGGGTGGGGGACAAAGTGGGGACAGATATGGCGGTTAGCGGCGCCGCCGCGGGCAGTGTACTTGCAGTGCGTGCGTGTGTGTGTGTGTGTGTGTGTGTGTGTGTGTGTGTGTGTGTGTTTGTGTGTGTGTGTGTGTGTGTGTGGGCGCGCGCGTGTGCGTGCAGAGGTAAGGAAGGTGCAGGTGTGCGGATCAGATCCGTATCAATTTTCACTTGTGTTTGTTGTCAGAATACGACCATGCAAGTGCGCGGGGGATGCACTTGTGTTTCCTTTCAGAGTGTGTGTGTGTGTGGAAAAGGGGGGGGGGCAGTATCGACATGACAGCGTCATCGGCAAGGTAGAGGGAGACACAAGATGGGGCGAGATGAAGGAAGCTGGGTCCGGAAGAGGAAGCAGGCGAAGCGGGGCGACGAGGCGGTGGCGTCGGGTGGATAGAGACACACTCACACGGACACACACACACACGTAGCGCTGTAGGTACAAAGGCCCGTGGCAGTGAAGGCCGTTTGCCCCGCCCCGGCTGCCAGCGAGTGGGGAAGGACCAGGGAGGACCCGCTGGAATGAAAACTGCAAGGAAGCGTGCCCGCCGCGCCCGCGGTCCACAGACATGCAAATCAACGCAATTACGGCTCTTGCGCGGGTTCAAACCCCGCCCAGGAGGAGTGGCCACGCCAGTTTTTTTTCTTTCTTATTTTACATTATTTTTTTTAAAGGGTGTGGGCAACGCGCCGAGCGCTCGTCGCCGCCCAAAAGCAAAGAGAAAACCGTTTTAAAAAAAATGGGTGGAAAACGACGCTTTTGCTGCGTCCAACACGCACCACGCCCCGCCACGCCCCGCCACGCCCCCAGACCCCAGGAAGGGGCTTCGTTCGCCACCCCTTCCTTTCACAACCAGCCCAACGTTTACAGGTCTTTTGTGCGTCAAGCTTGGGAAAAAAAACTAAACATAAACTAGGCGAATAAATTACACTAATTGCGCGGTGATTAGGACCTGCGTGCGCGCCTGTGTGCGTGTGTGTCACTGAAACCCTCCGCGCGCGCGTTGCGCAATAGCAATCCGGCCTCGCCACACTCGCTCGGATTCCCGGTATCGGAATGCAACGCACCTTCGCATTCGCCGCATTTCAGGATGACGTTTGCGGGAATCCGTTTAATGCTCTTCCGAAACAGATGAGGAACCCCCCGCGTTCTCGATGATAGATGTGCTTTTCGGTGGAAGCGCGTAGGGTAACGTGCCCAGTGATGGCCAGGGTACCAGTGATGGCCACTTCACACTTTGCGCTGACTTTCCCACCAGGCGAGATTAGTTAAAGAATTGAGCTTTTGAGGTTTTGTACTGTCACATATTGACAACACAACGCCGAAAAAATTTCAGCTTTTTAGTGTTAGGGACGGCCGCACGGGCGCAGCGCGCTGAACACTGCGTTCTCGGCCGGTCGAACGTTGCTTTCCTTACCGGCCCAGATTAGCGCAGGCTTTAACGGCGTCGCTTGTCATTTGTGAATACGAGGTCCGTGCAAGAGAAACATCACGTCAGAAGAATCGAAAGAGGGCAAGTTAACCATAACATGCAAGTTTTTTTGAAATTTCGTTACATTTGAGGGAAAAGGGGTGGTGGCCAGTACTGGGCAGGCAAAACAGTGCACAGCCAGTGATGGCCACACTAGTGTTTTGAGGCAGACTTTGCAACGAGCGATGCGACGCCGTGCATGTCCGTCTAGTTTGTTGCCTGAAATATCTTGGTTTTGACCTGGCATCTCAATCCGCCTGCCTCATGGGGACCTGAATTCACGGTACCATGGAAACTGTTTAGACTCCGTACGTACAATAAGTTTTGTTTTTAAGTCAAAATTTTAAATATGCGATAGAAACAATTCGATTTCAGAAACGCGTTCACCTCAACAAGATGAACAAAAAATGTTAAGCATGTTTTAGGTTCAGGCTTGATTTTCAGAAGTTATCGGCCTTGAAACAGGCCTTGAAACAGGAAAAAAGATGCATTTTGTACCTTTTTCCACTTTGGACACCGATAAACCTTTGAATTTGAAGTCTGTACCTATAACATGCTTAACATTACATGTTCACCTTCTCGAGATCAAATCATTTCGGAAACCAAATCTTTTATGGTATAAACACAAGTAGATTCCCAGGGTAGGTTCCCAGGGTTACACTGATTTCCGTTTCCTAAGACACAGTGACCCCTGTAGCTTCGAACAAGGTGCAAACCAGCTGAAATTGGGTTCAATAACTGTCAAAAACGAAAACAAAGCGCTCAAACCCTAGTGTGGCCATCACTGGGCCGGGACCCTGGCTATCACTGGGCAAAAGGTGGCCATTACTGGGCAAACTGTACTGATAGTTTGGTTAACTTTTTCTCAAAGAATAAATTTTATTTTGCTGGTTTCTACCCTTGGGAACCTTTACTCTATCCTTCTTTTATGTTTCTGGAAATTTTCATACCGGTACGACGTGCGGGACGCTTAGTAAAGGGGTTAAAGGCGCATCAGTGCGCTAAAAGTGGCCATCACTGGGCACCTTACCCTACCTTCCCTCTCATAAATGACGTCATTGTTCGCCAATTGCAAACGCGCTGTCCCGCTCCCTCGGCGGCAGAGGCTTCTTGATACGTCGCTGCAGCCTGCAGTGCTTACGTACGTACACAAGCCGGCAATGGCGCCAGAGTTTGCTGCGTGGAAAAGTTTGGTTATTGCGCACGATTACAGTGGTGTGGCCCTTCCTCGCCCTGCGTCGCCCTGCCTCCACGATGATGACCCGGACAATGGCGTAACATTCCTGAACTCGCCGCTGTCGTCCTAATTGCCCGCACCACGCCCGGTTGCTGATGTTGTTGTTGTTGTTGATGGTGATGATGTCGTCGTCGTTGTGATTGTGCGCGTCGGGACGACGTAAGATGGATGAAACGCGTCGCCAAGTTGGATTCGCGAGGCGGCGGGTGGAAACGATACGGGCCGTGGATCTAGACGAGGCGGGGCGGGGCGGGCTGCCAGACGCACAGACCGCACCTGCGAGGGGCTTTGGGAAACAAAAGCCAACAAAACCGCGGCGGCGGCGGCAAGCCTGGGCCAGCCAGCCAGCCACGGGCGTGCCGCGTGCGCGCGAGCGGCTTACATGAATGATTCATCCATCAGAATCCTCCGCGGCTGAATTTAATGAATTTGATGAATTTAATGAACGGCCCTTTCTTTTCCCCGCGAAAGTAGCAGCAGCAGGCAGGTGGGTCTCTCTCTCTCTCTCTCTCTCTCTCTCTCTCTCTCTCTCTCTCTCTCTCTCTCTCTCTCTCTCTCTCTCTCTCTCTCTCACTCTCTCTCTCTCTCTCTCTGAGTCGGGCTGCCCATCCGCGTTCCCCGCCGCAGCCATCGCGACTGTCACGCTGCCCTGCGACTCTCGACGCACCTGATGGCACGGCCCGATACACCGCATACTAGCAGCACTAGCAGTGTGGCTGCGAGGCGGCCCGCGACACTGGAACTCGCTCGCCCTAATCGGAAATTAAAATTGTTGCCGATGCTGGCGATACGGGGAAACGAACCGCGTGTCTCATTCCACAGTGGCGGCGCGCTTGGCGGCCGGGCGCGTCGCTCCGTCTCTCTCGCACCCCTTCGGGCCGCCCCACGAGTGCGACAGAGACAGAGCGACGGAACGGCGGGAACGCGGCGCCCTTGTCTTCCGCTGCGGGACGCGCGCGCCTCGCCTCGCTTTAGCGGCAGTAAAGCGACGAGGAGGTATAAAATCGGGGAAAAATCTGCGCTGCCCCGGCCGCTGCGCCGCTGCACCAATTTGATGGCACGGAGCGCAGCGCACCGGCAAGCACCTGTTGGCCGCCATTAAGACGCAGCAAGCACGGCGAGCTAAGCTCGGCAAGGCCAGGCAAGGCCAGGCAGGCGGAACCTCGCTAAAGTTGGCCAGGGTGAGCGTCAGCACGCCTTCACGGCAAGAGCGGGAACGGGACGGGGACTGCATCCGCGCGAAGACGAAAACGCGACCAACCTCGGTGGGACTCGAACCCACTTCAGACTGATAGTGTCGCTCTGTCTCTCTCTCGCACTCGCGGGTCGTTCCGCCGCAAAGGGCGCGCAAGAGAGAGACGGGGAAGGCATTACGAGGCAATGAAGGCCCCGATGCAGTGCGGGCTGCGGCACGGCGCGGCACTGTGCGTTGCGCCGCCCGCATCCACCACACTGGCGGCACTGGGCGACCGCCACCGCACTGGTAGGCCTGGCAGCGCAGGGCCGGCAGGGCAAGGAGGGACGGATACCATTCGGCCTGTAATTCGATGGGCTTGGCCAGCCCGGCCAGCCGGTCATTTGCGGTCAGGTGAACGAATTGAACGTCTCCCCGTCCTCCCCCCCCCCTTCCCCACAGAGCGCCCGCCGGTCTGGAGGCCTTGCCAGCGCCGCCCCCTCCTTCATCGCCTCCTCTCCGCCGCTCCGCCGCTGCGCCCCTCAGGCCCGTTTTCAGCAACTCAGCATTAATTGAAACTTCCCCAGTCACGCCCACATTTGCATGCACAAGTGGACTTCCTTGTCGATGCCTCTCGCCCCATTTTTCTCGCCGTCCAGCCCGCCCGCTTGCCCGCCTGCGGGGTGGGTGTCCGGTGGCGCCACCGGGCGCCACCCCCTGCCCGCCGACATGGCGGCCCCGATGCCGCCCCGACGGGTAACTCGAG